AAATCAGGTGTTGTTTCTTCTCACTTGCACATGTCGCCCATTGCCTGGTATATAGTATGCTCGGTCTACACTCTCTATCTACACTATGTCTATGAACGTCGATTTGATGTGATCGATCTTTCCGCACGCGCGCGCGCGTGTCATTTCGTATATCATAAAATACGTATTATTTATAAAAAATATAACGTTGCAATATAATGTATTTTTGTAAATATTGAAAGATATCTATTAGATTCGGAAAAAAATTAACGGAGACCGACTGGATTTGAACTCGGGATCCCCGTCTACCAATCCGACATTTAGTCTGCACGACCACGACGGCTCCTCTCTGTTAGCTGTTTATATTCCGAATCTCTTTCATGACCGCTTACGGTCGTCTAATTCTTACAATATAATTATCATTATCATTATTTTTCACCACGTGATTGATTTCGTATTACTAACAGAAACTCAGAACTAATGTCTTCGATGTGTGTCCACGATGCTAGAAATCGATCTAAAATCTCGATGGAAAGAGAATTGTCTAATCGCATTTGAATAATTCGACCAATTAAGTCTCCTGAGTACTCAGCTAAGAGATTTTGCATTGACGGTAGGGACGTATCGTCGTGGTGAAAAATAGAAGCTCAGGGTGCTGTCACATGCGGCGTAAGGCCGATTACACACAGGACGCGGCAACGCGACAATGCGGCAACGCGGTAGCCAATCACCGTCTTGTTTTCTGATATACAACTTCGGCTACCGCGTTGCCGCGTTGTCGCATTGCCACTTTGCCGCGTCCTGTGTGCAGCAGGCCTAACTTGCATAAACGTAACTTGTGCCGACCAATCACATCGTTTCATTTGAACATCAGATTTCGTCTAATTATTTTATATGTTTACGCTATTATTATCAGGCTGGTGTCCAACGAACAGAATGAACGAGTTTTCTTTTGATTCTTTCGCTGTGATTGGTTTGCGCGTTCCGTTCCGCTGTGGATTTCCGCGCCATGGGACACCAGCCTCAGGCTGATATACCAATTGGAAAAAGCTTGTCATAGAATGTGGGTGCGTCCAATATTCGCAGAAAGACGAAGATTATTACAGGATGACAGTGACAATCTGGTCAAAGACATGGAATTTGAAGAGTACAAAATGTTCCACAATTATTGTAGAATGTCTATAGAAATGTTTAATCAGTTGTTAGATATTTTTAGGCCACGCATTGAAAAACATTATAAATTAATTAATATATATATATATATATATATATATTTATTTATTATTAATTAATTTGATATGATGATTTAATTAATCATTATTATATTAATTAATTAACTTATCCTGATTTGATCTTTACTTATTTTGCCGAAAAGATTATTCTGATTATTCACTGTGTGTGTATGTGTTTCTTCCGCGAAAAAATTAGATTCAGCGTAACAATAATAGCGTAAACATCATAAAGTAACTAGGCGAAATCTGATATTCAAGTGAAACGATTGGTCGGCGCAAGTTACGGCACCCTTACCTCGCATGTAACGGCACCCTTACCTCGCGCATCCTTACCTTAAGTTTATCTCGCGTCACGTCGTAACGCAATGGATAACGCGACACGTGACGCGCTCAGTGGGAATTCACCCTAAGATTAACTTCAGTCGTGCAACCCTACGAAGATTTGTTATTTGCATTACGATTTTTGAAATGGATTCTTACTTGATACAAGTAGGGTATAAAGTTGACAATGTAGCATAGTATTTTATAATATTAAAATTACTTTTTATTTCGTTCTTTATTTCTCAGATTCGCCGAGTGTGGTTTAACCAAGATGGGGAAGCATTGGCGGTAAATATACTCGAGTATAGAAGAGTTTTTAATTCATCGATTAATTAATCGCATAATGCGTAAATACTTTTATAGAGCTTTTATAGAGTAAAGTTGCATTTGCGCATAATGCGACTTATTAATCGATGAATTAAGAAACTCGCCTTATATATAAATTATAATATCTCGAGTTCATCCTATACACATAAATTTATATGAATCATGTGAATGTTGTTTTTCTTTGTAGGATCTCTTGTCTTTGCGTCATAATCATGTCTCAATACCTCAAATTGATTCAGAAATTGCTATAAACAAAACCATGGAACACTTGTCTGCACCATTAGATGATTTGGTGCTTTGTCATTTGAAGTAAGAATTATAACTTATCATGTTACAATTTGTTCTAACGTTGGATTATATCCTTACATTGCATACATTCAATTCTTAGAGCTGTGTCTGCTATGAACAAAAACGATCCTTTGGTTATGTACAATTATCAAAGCTCAGCTGTGCATGGTCTTGCAAAGATTTTACAAATGCAAAAAGAGGAAAATTGGATGTTGCCAGTAATGAATATAATGTGCCTGGAATTAAGATTATCAGCGATAGGTGCAGAGAATTCCAAGAATAATAAAAACATAAAGCCTGGTGAAGTTCTTGAGAAGTGCGCCGAATGCTTGATGGCTTGTTTTAGAGTTTGTGCAGCTGACAGTAGGAGTTCAGAAGAAGACACGAAACGATGGGGAATGCTAGCCTTGATCAATCAATTACTGAAAGTATATTTCAGAATTAATAAATTACATTTGTGTAGACCTTTGATACGGGCTGTAGAATCTTCACCTTACAAGGACCATTTTGCATTGGCACAACAGATTACTTATAAATTTTTTGTTGGTCGAAAAGCAATGTTTGATAGTGATTATAAGATTGGTAAATCATCTTTTTGCCTTATTTCTTGTAAGAGTGATTGTTAATTTTCGTCGAGTATAGGAATACATGCTATTGAATTGTTTCAGCTGATGAGTACTTAACTTATGCGTTTGAACATTGTCATATACAGTGTTCAAAAAATAAGAGATTGATTTTGACTTATCTTGTACCTGTGAAGATGTTATTAGGATATATGCCCAAGCAAAATCTCCTGGAAAAATATAATTTAATGGAATTCTGGGAACTAATGGAGTCTGTCAAAAAGGGAGATTTACGTTCTTTAGAGGGAGTTATGGCGAAACATGAAACTTTTTTCATAGATGCGGGCATATATCTAATCGTGGAAAAACTTAAACTGATCGCTTATAGAAATTTATTCAAGAAAGTATACTTGGCGCTAAATACACATCAAATACCAGTAATGAGTTTGCTTGTAGCATTACAGATGAATGGAATGGAGGATATAGATATGGATGAAACGGAATGTCTTCTCGCTAATTTGATATATGAAGGCAAGATCAAAGGTTATATATCTTATCAACATAAAAAATTGGTTATATCTAAACAGAATCCTTTCCCTCCATTATCTACAATTATACCATAGATAACTTATAATTGTTATTTTTACTGTTATTTTTATAATAAATACATTATCCTTTTTTATGATATAACAATAAAGTATTCCATTTTTTACAGAGTGATCTATATCTTTTAGAGAGAAAGCTTGCTATTTATATATATATATTTTTTTTTTTTAATATGCTTATATTGTATCTAGTGTTTCTTCATTCCGCAAGTGGCGCTGATTGATCAAGTATTAAAAGTGCAATTGACGCCATCAGAATACTATCTTATCAACAATCTTTCGTTTTACAAATTTACGAAATTCGCCACCAAGACGCTGCGATCGTATCCAAGATATTTTTCTATCTCTCCAAGAACTTGGTAATAAGAGCATAATGGGACAACTCGACTCGTGTTTTTACGTCTCTAGTTCAAATTGTCCTTATTATTATCCTCGATTATTCTTGTTGTCCATATTCCTCATCAATATTTCGGACTCAGTGTAACATAATGCACGAAGGTGAGTGCTACTAATCAAGGAGAAGCAAGTATGGCGCGTCCCAAACACAGAGCGAGCGCGGACGTGTGCGCTGATTGCGGAGCACTTGGTGAATATTATTTTTTTTTACGACTACTACTAGCTCGATTCTTTTTTGTAACAGAACGCCTTATAATTGTCATTTTGACATATGTACTTAACATATATTTCTTGAATTTTGTTTTCACTCTAACAATGCATTTATATATAAATACATTTTTATTTATTTAATAAAGCATTAATTAGTCACACTTATATTATAAAAAAAAAATAGAACAAATTTATTGTTGTTTCAGAACCAGGATGGGCATCGATAAATAGAGCTATTTTATTATGTGACGATTGCTGTGGGATTCATCGTAGTCTAGGACGTCATATATCGCGTATCAAATCATTACATAAGAGTGTCTGGAATCCACATCTGTTAAATGTTAGTATGCAATAGCATAAAAAGAAACTTTCTTCAAGTTTAAGCATTGTGTATAAATTATACAGTTTTTGAAGTAATTGAATAAGTATTTTTAGATGGTGCAAACGTTAAACGATAATGGAGCTAACAGTATTTGGGAACACTCCCTGCTAGATCCTAGCAACTCCAAGATTAACAGAAGAAAACCACAACCTAAGGATCCTTTACAGTTAGTAGCTGTGTATATGTATGATAAATTTTATTGTAGAGTAGTTTTTCATTTTTAGAAGGTTTTTTGATATATGTGATTACAACAATTAAAAGTTTTCAGTTACTGTCATTTCTAAATTAAATCTATAATCTAATTCTAAGAAATATAGATATTTTTCAACCAAGCTTTTTATATTTCTTGATATAAGAGTTTTTTTCTTACTTTTTATATTATTTGCTTATATAGTCCAGTAAAGGCTGATTTTATCAAGGCAAAGCATCAACATTTGGCCTTTATATTACGGCCGAGTAAGGAAGAATATTGTACTGTGGAAGAACTCAGTAGACAGTTACACAGCAGCGTTCGTACAAGTAATTTAGAAACTTCATTGAGACTACTAGCACAGGGTGCCAATTCTAATTATTTTTATAAGGTATATTTTAGTGGTATAGATATAATACTGATATTGCTGATTCCATATGTAACATATAATGTAAAATTATAGTATTGGAGAAAAATATTTGTGTTATATTCATTTTTACAGGAAAAGGGAACTACACCTTTACATGTCGCAGCTCGTGCTGGACAAGTTCTTCAAGTAGAACTTTTAATAACTAATGGTGCAAATCCGAGTGTAGTTGATTTAAATGGACAGATAGCTGCTGATATTGCTAAGTAAATATAATGTAGCATTTTTATATGCTAAATACAGAGAGAGGCTTTTATAATAAGAGAGAACATTTTACAATAAAATATTCTTTCTATTTCATTTTAGGATGGCAGGGCATATAGATTTATCTGAACGCATAATCGAATGCATGTATGAAGTAACGGATAGACTGACATATCACATATGCTCTCGTAAACCAAGTCATCGAGGTGATGAACATCTCATAAACTCTGATCTAGCTTCTTTTTTAGACAAAAATGAGTTAGCTTTAGAAGGAAGAAGCAGATTACAAATGGTATATAAAATTCATATTTACAATTCTTTGCTTTATTTGTTTTTCTTCTATATTGCTATCTCTTCTATATTTAAAGATTCAATTTATTCTCCTATCATTTAGTTGCCAAATCATTTGCTGGAGGAATTAGCCATGGATGTTTACGATGAGGTGGATCGTCGGGAAACAGAAGCAAGTAAGTAAAATTGCAGTTACTTCTCTCTCATCTGTTGAAAATTAGATTAAAATATACTATCATGGTTTAGACATGCGTGAATTTTACATTAATTTAAATTTTTAATGATACGTGTATATTTTTTTGTTATGCTTATCCTATGGAAGGGTGAGTAAAATATGTTTTAATTTATATAGCGACATAATGTATGAAATATACAAATTATATTATTATAAAATATATAATTACATAGGTAAATGTATAACATATAGATAGTAGAAGTAGATTCTCATATTTTATGCATAGTCTGGTTTTCAACTGCATCCTTTCCGGAGAAATGTACTGTTCCATTTCTGCCAGTTAATCCACAATTGTCATCTACTAGAAATCAAGGAAGACAAAAATTAGCGAGATTCACACCAAAGGAATTTATCACTCTTATAGTAGATTTACTGGCAGAGGCAAGTCGGAGACATACACCTATCAACAATACTCTTCAAAGTAATATTACCGAATTGATAGAGTATTTATTTTACTAGACTTTTGAAAATGTTTTGTGCCACTACTAAAGTGTACTGTATACATTTTTATAACATCTCTTATCTTTTCAGATCCTGCAATATCTATACTTCGTAAAGAACAACTCGGTAAACATGGGTCCCAAGTGTCCGATGATGAACCCTTATATGACAGTGTTGCATCTGATGATGATTATACCGCTCTAACATCTACAGATAATATTTCATCTGATATTTCGAATCAACTTAAAACTAATGAGGTAAGTTTTATTCAAAAAAATAATTGAAGATCTTGGTTTTTATAATAAAAAAAATGCATTAACAAATGTGATTCTATTTTTGGAATGTAGAATTTCGAAATAGGATATTTTATCTAACTGCTTACATTAGAATATAATATATATTAGTTTTGCTAATGAAAGTATATTAATTTTGGAAATTGCTTATTTTTCTTTAATTTGGATCAAGAGAGAAATGAGGAAAATATAAATTTACAAAATTCAGCATTAGACATATTTACCTATTTGATAAAATATTAAAGGTACTGGCAGTAGTAACAAAAAGAGGAATAAGGAATTGGCTGAGCACATGGCTTTTCTGTAGGCGATGTTATTAGGCAAGTGCACATCGGTCTGTTTGTGCATGTGCGATCATTGCCGAAAGTGTGAATTTTGTCCATCGTGAAAGCGATTATTTAGCTACTGAATTGATTTATGTTTCGCAATTCATTAAATATCATGATTTATATATTCATAATAACATGATGATATATTAAATATGAATTTATGACAGCTCTGCGTGATCATTATAACATGCTCTCTTTTTGCGCAATATATATCAATTTAAAGCAAAGGTCTTTATTAAATTATATTATTTTAGGAAGCATTGACACCGATTGCTAAGGGTCTTCCATCCGTGGTAGAAGTTTTGAAAAACAATTGACCTTATCTGAATCGACTGTACGAGATCTCCGTGAGCAGATACATACCTTGCAAAGTGTGGTCGAACAACTCACTCAAGAGAACAGCGAATTAAAGCATATGCTACAAGTAATTATACAAAAATTTGAATTGATTTACATAAAATAATATATTTTTTTTTATAATGATACTTAATTTCGCGATAAATCTCAATAAAATTATTAAATAAATCAATAACGCTGACTTAGATCAAAGGTTCTGGTGATGGCGACATAAACGGACACATTGGTGGGGAACAAGAACCTGAATTAGAACCAGTACACGATATCAAAACGTCTATTATACGTGGAAATCAACGACCAGCATCTATGTACGAGACTAGAGAAGGTTTACGGAAACCAGCGTCGTGGTCAACAACTATATGTCAAGTAATTTTTTTTTAAACAAATAGTAAAGTACTATATTATGCCATAACTATTCGCATTATCTCGCTTAGACAAAACGCGACACCGAAACATTATCACGGAATAATACGCAGAGTTTGTGGGAATGTGGTGCGCCTAATTTACCACCCAGCGAGGAAGTAACTCGACGAACGGAACAGGTTACCAGGCGAATCCAAGAGCTGTGGATGGCTATGCAAGATCCGAATCAACGAGAAGCCTTTGTTCCTTGCGCTGAGAGAATTCGCGTTGCTGTTGCCGAGTTAACCGCTATATTTCCTCAGGTAAGATCGTATATTCTGTGGTTTTTTTCCCCTTTTTTTATATTCTTTGACGTAGGCAATTTCTGTTATATCTGTTGATAGAATCCAATTGAAGAAAATATCAGATCTGCTTTACGTCAATTAAATGGTAATACTGGGAGACTTCAGGCAGAATGTTCCGGTCTTCAAAGATGCAGTGATGCCGAGCACATGGATCGTTGTCTGCAACAGGTACGTTCATGCGCTTATGATATTGCCAAAGCAACTAAGCTACTTGTTACACAATTTCAAATATAAATGTATCTTAGTATATCTTGCGGAAAAAATATTGAGGAGTATTTGTATTTTTGTACATTTTCAGTAATTGTGAATAATTTTTTATAACGTAACAAAATTTATTAGATTCTTTTTCTTTTCGAATTTTAATTATATAGTTATTATAATGCTTTACAATATACAATAGCATTCATTCTTTCATTCTTTTTTGTCCTTTTGTTATTTAATAAATATTGAAATAATTATTTTTGTTCATATTGTCATTAGATTATTTAAGAATGGGTTATTAATAATACACTCTAAAATTGTATTTAAATTAAAATGAATACGACCCAACAGATAAGATTAAACATGACATCATTCAAACATGCACGCACAAATACACATAAAATATATGTACAATATATCTTATATATTATTTAATATATATCTGTGACAAAGACTGAATAGCAGCACACCAATGAATTTTATATACACAGCTTAGGTTTATAAATTTTATTTAATATATTAATTTTCCTTATAATTTTGGTTTGGAAGACATAAGCCCTCTTAGTGAAATGCTAAAAGAAAAAAATTAAAGAAATTTTTTATATCTAGTACATGTAAAATTTTTGTTGTACTGCTAGTTAAATTATGTGAAAACCAAATGAGAAATTTTGTATACTTTTTTCTGTACTTTATTATTAATTTGTACAGAAGAAATGTATGTTAATATTAGAATTATATCATAACTTACTTGATATTCATTTCATATTATTTTATTGTATTGTACTTTTTACATCATTTTTAAATTTATGATTTTTAATTAATCTTTATGCATTTTATAATTGATTATTTGATAATTTATTGGGTTCTGGCTATATCATTATTGAAAATATTCTGTGCAATATTCAAGTATTCAAGAATTTATCATTTTATTTAACTTGTTTTTACAACAGAATATGTAGTTAAAAATAGTAAAATGATAAAGCAATATATTAAGCCATTGGCATTATAATATTATATATCTTCTTTGTGTGTGTGTGTGTGTGTGTGTGTGTGTGTGTGTGTGTGTGTGTGTGTGTGTGTGTGTGT